GAAAACTCGATTTAGATGGATTTACAGAGCCGTTTTAAATGTTTATTAAGTAGGCGTTGAAGTTGAAATAATTGAGAGCTTGTGTCAGAAAAGAACATCTGACATAAGTGCAATAAGTGCACAAGCAATGAAGCGAATTTGTGAATTAAAAAAAAATCGAAACAATTTCCACCCTTTGCGCTATAGTGTAAACCATCATTGTTTTTGAATTTACCACAAAATTAAACAATAAGTTAATTTAAGTTTAACACACTCACACATTCGCTTCATCGCTTGTTCACTTATTGCACTTCTGTCAAATGTTCTTTTCTGACACAAGCTCTCAATTATTTCAACTTCAACGCCTACTTAATAAACATTTAAAACAGCTCTGCAAATCCATCTAAATCGAGTTTTCTGTGGAACTACTGAACGGATTTAAAAAATAAAAACAGTTCGGTTCGGAAAACATTATGAACATTCCTTTCGACCTATCTAACATTTACTACCCCTCCCATTTAAAATTGTTGGGGTGCAATTCACCCCCTTCTTATGGTTAAAGTTCTGTAAGTAGTATTACTTAATTTAGTTACCATATAATTCCTTGATTCAGTCCTTTAGTTTATTGTTTCCATCTTTCATCATTTTCCATACTCTTCTCTTGAAATTTCGTCCCCTTCCACTTGTTCTGTTTTCCCTTTTCCTATGTTTATTAATTATACAAGGTGACACTTTTAAAACTTTCAATGGGCGATATCGTTTTTTATATTAGAGGTATCACAAAATGGCCAAAACAGTTTCGGTAGAATCAAGGGGGAAGCAAAATGGTCGTATAAAGAAGGAACCAATTTCAACCTCGTATCCCCGCCAGCCCCATGCCTAAATTTTGAATTGTGACATATCACTTGTGATACATCATTGGAAAGCTCTTAAAAATGCTTTTCAGAAATACCAACACTGGTGCATTTAAACTGCCCATTCACAATTTATGTAATAAAAATGAGTAATTTGAGTATTTGATGAATTTGTCAGTGTTTGAAATAAACAAAAATTTCTTAGATCTAGTGATGCTTTGGAAAAACAATGACAGCAATTTTTAGTAGGTAAATAATAATTTTCTATTGCTTTATTATTTTGTTGATCGGTTATTATTATTTTAGTCTCGTTTTTAGTATTTCTTGGCAAGAAAATTACAAATTTTGAATTTAACTAAAGATTTCATAATGGTGTACACGTTAGCCGAAAGAGTTGAAATTATTTTCATCTATGGTTCTGAAGCGCGATCTGCATTTAGAACAGCAGCTGTTTTTAATGCCCGACACCCAGAACGACGTGTCAGTCACACTTATGTTGCAATGTTAGTGACTAAATTTGAAGAAACTGGGTCAGTGGAAAATAAGAAAAGAGACGGACCAAGAATAATGGATGAAGCTACTCAGATTGAAGTTTTAGGTCATTTTGGTGCAAACCCAACATCATCTATTCGAAAAGCAGCGACTATGACCGGACTTTCGCGAGAAACTGTACGACGAACTCTTAAGGTGCACAAATTCTACCCTTATAAGATGCAGATTGTACAGGAACTAACCGAAGACGACTCCGATCGAAGAATCCAATTTTGTGAAATAATGACCGAGAATATTCAAAATAATCCGGAACTGGTGAAAAACATTTGTTTTATTGATGAATGTACATTCTTTTTAAATGGAAATGTGAACAAACATAACTGCCGGTATTGGGACGATAAAAATCATCATCTTTTTCGCGAGGGGCATACTCAACGGCCCCAAAAAATTTACGTCTGGGCAGGTATCTTAGGTGATAGCATTATTGGTCCTCTGTTTATCGAAGGAAATTTAACTGGATATACTTACCTAAACATGCTACAAAATACCGTCGAGCCTCTCATCACTCATGAAATAGAGAATCAAATAAATCCAATTGACGGCAACATGAATTTGATTGAAGATTTCATACATTTTCAACAAGATGGGGCTCCTCCTCATTACTCTATGGCTGTTCGTGAATTTTTAGATGAGAAATTTCCGGGACAGTGGATAGGACGAAGAGGTCATATAGAATGGCCAGCACGATCTCCAGATCTGACACCATTGGATTTCTTTCTTTGGGGTCATTTAAAATCGGTTGTGTACAAAACTGAACCAGCTTCCATAAATGATCTTCGCTACTGGATAGTCAGGGAGTGCCGTTCACTTTCCAGGGAAGTGTTTAAAAATGTTAGAAATGAATTTGAAAACCGTTTGTGGTATTGTTTAGAACAAAACGGTGAACATTTTATTAAATAAAAGTTGTTTATTTGCGGAGTTCAAATTTTAGTGTAATAAATTCTGAATGGGCAGTTTAAATGTACCAGTGTTGGTATTTCTGAAAAGCATTTTTTAAGAGCTTTCCAATGATGTACACAAGTGATACGTCACAATTCAAAATTTAGGCATGGGGGTGGCGGGGGGTACGAGGTAGAAGTTGGTTCCTTCTTTATACGACCATTTTGCTTCCCCCTCGATTCTACCGAAACGGTTTTGGCCATTTTGTGATACCTCTAATATAAAAAACTATATCGCCCATTGAAAGTTAAAAAAGTGTCACCCTGTATAATTATGCTATCTCTCACCTGGGGAGAAATGCGAGCAAGGGTTACTTGCGTCCGTAGCGGCCCCCAGAATTCGGATCGGAGGGAGGCCGGGTGATAACCGAGACAAACATACTGACTAGGCTAGGTGGAATGCCACGGGAAACCACCACCGAATCTTTCCTCAGGAACAACTTTACAATGGAAATGGCGTATTAAAAAATAAGAGAATCCCAGGTGGGGAGGGCCAATGGTCCAGAGTCCCACACTGCTGTACACGCGGCAGTGCGCCCTCTCTGGGGAGGGCAAAAAACGCCTAAGGAACACCTTCTACGAGTCGGAGCATGGAATGCGAGGAGGATAGGTAGATTAGAAAACTTAAAAATGAAAATGGTAAGGTTAGATTTAGATATTGTCGGGCTAAATGAAAGTAAGTGGAAAGAACAGGGTGACTTTTGATCAGCTAAACAAGAAGTTAGGCACTAGAATTAAAAGCTGCAAGATAGTTAGTGATAGGAGCATTGTAGTTAGAAACCTTCGATACGATAGCGGTTCAGGTTTATATGCCAACTTCTGGGCACGAAGATGAAGAGATAGAGTAGGTATACGAAGAGCTACAAACTGCGTTAAAGGGAGTTAAGGAAGAGGAGAATTTAATTATAACAAGAGACTGGAACGCGGTAGTAGGAGAAGGTAGGGAGGACAACATAGTAGGACCGTATGGTACAATTTTGCGAAGATTAGATTAACTAACACACGGTTTAACAACCATAGGCGTAGATGTACCTAAGAAAAAAGGCAGGGTAGATTTAGAAAAGTTAAAGGTTAAAGGTTAAAGATTATAGGTAATAGTAGAGAAACGAACCATGTAGAGGAGGTTTGGTCAGAGATTAGATCAGGACTGAGGAAGGTATGTAGCTGGAGATGTGTTAGGAGTAAAAACAAGGGGTCGCAGAGGAAATTTTAGAACTAATGGACCAAAGGAAAAAATATAAGAACGCATCAACTCAGCAAGGTAGGGATAAATATAAAAAATTAAAAAACAAGGTAGATAGGGAATGTTAGATAGCAAAAGAACAGTGGCTCGAGGGGAAATGCGAAGCAATAGAACGAATATATAGAGCGGAAGGACCGTTAGCAGAATTAGAGCAACCAAACATCACACAGGAAGAACAGGATTTAGCATACTTAGGGCAGAGTTCGATAAAGCTATAAAGGACCTTAAAGTAGGGAAAGCAACAGGAGCAGTATCGGCAGAATTAAGGGACCAAGGTGCAGGATAGACTCTACTAACAAATAGGAATAATAGGATATACGAGACCGGGCAGATGCCGAGTGACTTTCAAAAAAATAGGTTGATTATGATCCCGAAGAAAGCAGGCGCAGAAAAATGCGAACAGGGGAGAAGATCGAAGGGAGGCTGGCAGATGACCAGTTCGGGTTTAGAAAAAGTAGTGGCACGCTTAAGACAAGGAGGAAAGGTTAAGAGGAGGAAAAACAACTTTCGTGGATTTGGAAAAAGTATTTGATAGAGTCAATTGGAACAGTTTATTTAGGATAATGAAAGAGGCAGGGATCGCATACTAGTGTAAAGATAGGAGGGTCATTTACAACCTCTACAAGCAACAGAGAGCGGTGATTGATTAACGTAGAGGGTGAAGAGGCGGCAATATTTAACCTTTACATAGAGGAAGCCATAGAGTAAAGCAGGGATTTAACTTAGGGGTCAAAAGTGCAGGGCGAAAGAACACATATGCTGAGATACGCGGATGACAGTAATACTAGCAGAAAGGGAAAGTGATCTAGAAACAGGAATACTATCTAGAGACTATTATACAGAATGAAAATGAACAAGGAAAAAACAAAAGTAATGAAATGCGCGAAAAGAGAGGATAGGAAAAGGATAAAGATCCGAAGAGGAAACGACACTTTAAAGGAATTTTGCTATTAGTAAGGTTACACAAGATAATCGTAGAAAGGAAGATATAAAATAGCGCAGGCTAAGAAAGCATTTGAACAAAAGAGGGACCTGCTAAGTTCCGCGATAAATATAGATTTTAGGATAAAGGCTACTCAAATCGTACATATGGAAGGAGTGTAGCTCTAAGGGTGCGAAACCTGGACCATAGGTAGGGAAGACAAAAGGAGGATAGAAGCATTCGAAATGTGATGCTATAGAAGGATAATGATTAGCCGGATGGACAGGGTAACAAACGAAGCAGTTTTGGAGCTAGTACAGGAAAATAGGGACCAAGTTCAAATACAAGTGGCGCGTGTTAATAATACGATGGTAACGAGAGTTTAAATGAGTCGTTTTAATCCGTTGTTAATAAAGAGCGTGTTAAATCAAAATTATCTCAAGGTTAGATTAGATTAGAACACGTCTCTTGTGTTGTGTATTAATTTTTTTTAATGCATTTGACTCGATTACCTGATTTTCATTGTGCAACTCGAGATGTGTATTTCTCTTGCATTTTCTTGTCTGTAAAATATCTCTTTTATTCTTGTCTTTTCTTACGCACAAAGCTCTTCGTTTTCTTCAAATTACCTTCTCGATTGTGTCTCAGGTACGAACGCATAAAAGAATCGACAACGTTCTGTTGGAGTTCTATTCACTACACACAGCTCGAACCGACTGACCGAGAGTAATGCATGTCCGGTTATCGGGTGACATAACGTGACGTCACAGTAATGCGTTATGATTACCTGTCCCATTTTGTAGCGGTAAATTGAAATTTTTTACTGTCATTTGCTGTGTCATTTTCAATATACAGAGTGTAATGATAGTTATATGCAGGGTATTTGTGATCGATGTTTTTGTACCAGGTCATTAACTAGTCACTCATTTTGTTTCGATGAGACTAAATTGACTAGTGTGTCGGTATATTTGGAATTAAATATACAGGGTGTAATGACAGTTATACATAGGGTGTCATTCAGTTCTGCTGCGGTCATTGTGAAACCGATAAAATTTGTCATAGTGATTATGTGACATAGACGATGGGTCTATTTGAGTAGATTTTCAAACTTGTGCGATACATTATTATCTATTATCTGCAAATGGGACTTAATGTAGCCAGTGATTTGTGTTGTTGTGCGAGGATTTTGAAAATGAGTGGTGATCGAAGTGTGTATTTCAATTATGAGACTTTTATACGATTCATCCATTGCTAAGAGGAATTAATGGAAACATTAAGACATTGTCGTCGATATAAATCAATAATTCGTAGGAACGATACGTGTGGATTTGAAGCGAAAAACTCAAGATTTCGATTTTCTAAATTTTGTAAGGCTTACTTATGATTTAATTGTGGAAATATACTGCTTTCAAAAGGTAAATACCTTGAGTGCATTTAATTATTACCCTTCCAGCAGAAGATATGTCATTTACCAACTCCAAATAACACAGTGGTGACAATTTCTCCTTTTTACTGACTAATAAAATTAAGGTTAGTGACTATTCCACTAATGAGCTTTTCATAATAAGAGACGTTTGTTCTTTTCATTCAAGCGATGATTCTGTAGAATAAAATGAGGTATCTCTGAACCAATTATTTTTATTTCACAATAAAACGATAAGATCATGCCACCATAATGTAGTGGTATTTAATTGTTGTGGATAACAATCTCCAACTAGATAATATTATGTCGACGAATTTCTTTTCGTTTGGAATTCGGAAACGCGATTTTCAATGTATGTTTTTTTCTGGTTTTACTGGTGCCGCCATACGTGGCTTTGACCATTGTAGCACTGTCCGTCAAGTTTAGTTGAGCATGCAAAATTCAAGGAGTTCTAATTCAATTTTCATATGTAATAGTACACAATTTCTATGTTTTTGACAATCATCATTGTAACTATTGTTATTAATTTAAGTTTTCCATAAATATTATAAGGTTGTGTGCCGGTGCACCATCCTGTTGAAACCAACAGTTTCCAGCTTTCGTTTTTTTTGTGCCGTACATCGTTGTATTCGTAATAAAAAATGCTACCCAATACAGTATGTGCTTTTTAGCTCAAATAGTGCCAATGAGAAAGGGTTTTTTTTTTAATTTTTTGAAAATACACAAACCAAATCGTCAATTTCGGTTTTTCTGGCATATCTTCGGAAGTAATCGAAATTTTCTGATTTTCTTTACAGCATGGTAATTACTATTTAATTGCGTAACTTTTCCCTATTTTAACCATCGATAGTTACCGAGATCCTCATGGCTACTGCCTTATCTTGGACACAATGTATCAATAGACTATGGGAATCTGGGAAACCGTAAAAGCTACAAATCCGGTTTAAAGGCAAACAGTTTCAGAATTAAGGGGCAATCTTCCTAAGAAATTCGAAAAAATACGAAATATCGTGATTTCGCTATTCTTTTCTTAAGGTTACTTCAAGAGAATCAACGTAATAAAAGACAGTTTCTCATTGCAGCTATTCAAGTTTACTTGGACACCTGGTATGGTTCTGTGTAATTTTGCAAGCTTTGAATTCACTTGAAGAATTTCTGATTCAGTGCTCTCATATTTTGTAGCAACTCAAACACTAATCCACGATCAAACTAAACATTAATGCCGTTTTTGATGGTCAAATTTCTACATGCAGTTTTATACTATGAAGCGATTGGAAAAGAGGACATTTGCTGACACATTTATAAATGTCAACTTCTATAAATCCAAATAAATTGTGTTTATTTTCAGAATTTTTCAAAAATTTAGAGAAACTTCCTATTTGTTCCTAAGCCTTATTTACGAGACATACCGTTTGGAAAACTATACAAGGACCTTCATTTTTGAATTCCAAGAAATTCCTTTGCAAACAATAAATTGCATTTAACATTATGGAATAAATCTAATATATTATGTGAGAAAGTATCCTAATTAAGACGTGCCTATACAAATTCAGTGTACTTAAAAATGGGTTTTGTGTAGCGTACTGACATAATAAATTATGAAACGTAAATTAGGCGTGTATAATGGTATGTCGGAAAATTTAAATTCGCATTCTTTGTACAAATAAACAACGTTAGTAAATTACGCAAAATAAATAAACATGACGTTTATGTTAAACATTTTTCTACTCCTCCCATAATTACATATTCGTATCCGGATACACTGCAATAACATATAAGCATTTCGTCAATATGGATTTTATCTCACCTGTGCCCATCGTTAGCATGTAATGTCAAATTGGAATTTTCGAATTGTTAATGATAACGCTTTTTTGGTTGTTGAAAGGGGTAATTAAACTGGGTCAAAAATGTGGATAATCTAAAGGAAAAAAAACTGGACTGGAATCGTTATATTCATAAAAGCACAAGAAGAAGAGATAAGCGAGTGATCTAATGCTGAGCCAGCAAGTGTAACCCAATAGCACGAATTAGGAAGACGAAATATGGACATCTCAGTGAAACAGGCCTCCGAAACGCATTAGAAACAATGTTCCATAGAAATTAAACGACACAGGACAGGCACCACATTTGCACCAGAGTTGACAAATTTATTCTGTGAATATCATTTTGTGGCACGGGGGATCAAAACGGAGGAAATTACTGGCGGTAGAGAAGCGACCTAAGAGCAGCGATTGGCGTTCCTTTGGTGACAGTGGTAGGCGTAAGGTGTTGTGATTTTGGCGTTCTGTGATTAATAAATAAGTTTATTACTGGCGTAATTCATTGTTTGTTGTAAACATTTATTTATTATTTATTTTTTTTGCGGGCCTCAAAAAAAGGCAGTGTATTACCTTCTTTTTTATCAAAAATCGACTACACCAAAATTTCTCGGGAAAACACTTTTTCTTATTAATTTTGGTGCGTAGAATCCAAAACAATTCGTACTATTTCGATCAGACTTCTCAATCAAAAGTTATAGACTAGAAACTAATTTCGAAAGATAATTCAAAGGGCTGTAACTTTTGAACTAGTAGCCCAATCTTGGAACTGTTTGAAATTATGGATTCTACAGGTCACATTTTATAAGAAAATGATTTTTCCGGGTCGATATGAGACAATTTTTTTTGCGAGCCTCAAAAAAAGGCAGTCCTTCCTTTTTTACCAAAAATCGACCACACCAAAATTTCTCGGGAAAACACTTTTTCTTATTAATTTTGGTGCGTAGAATCCAAAAGAATTCGTACTTTTTCGATCAGACTTCTCAATCAAAAGTTATAGACTAGAAAAGAAACCAATTTCGAAAGAAAATTCAAAGGGCTGTAACTTTTGAACTAGTAGCCCAATCTTGGAACTGTTTGAAATTATGGATTCTATAAGAAAATTTAGGAAACCCATTCGACCCGCTAAATTGTGATACTCTGTGAATTTCCACGATATGCATACTCTTAGAAATTCCCAAGTTTCACAACGAAATTTTGAATGTAAATTTAGAGCTACATTTAAATATTTTTACCTTCTCTCTCTACCACCATCAGACGCTTCCGCCCCACAGCACAGTATTAGGGTGAATCAGCAATGGTCGGAGGTTGAGGAAAAAGCCGTAGAGATGGAAATTGCCTTAGATCAGTTTCGAGCATTCTGTCGGCTACTCCGAATTAGGTTTTCCTGCAGTTTTCTTAATTCGTAAGGTAAACGCCGGAGAGCCTCCTCTAAAAGCATTATGCGAGCCACTCTGTAATTGGGAGCAAATCTGTTTAGGGCCCAGAACAAAAGAGGGTCAATAAATAAATTAATAATAAATGATATAGGTATACATTTTTCATTCGATGATAGGTACATTTCAGAAGCACTTGCATCCCTCTGCCCTCGCGCGTTGATATAGTTTGGGGGGATCTGACGATATTACATGTACCCCCACCACTCTCCGTCTTCTATAGGGGCAGCTTACAGCAAAGCCATTTTCATTTGAACGACCCTTGTATGTACCTAAGGTATACTGGATGTATGGATCCTGGATCTATGTTTTACTTTTAAGGTGCGCTCTAGGGGTGGAATGGTTAGCCTTACAAAAAGTCATATAAGGAAAATACTGGAATGCTTCCTTTCTGAAATATCGGCCTAAAACTGAAAAAAGGGCCAACATTCGGACAAAAAGTTCCAAAAGACAAAGTTCTGGATCAAATTTTTCCCTGTACATTTCAAATTCGTGTTTAGCAACCCAAAAGGTATAGAGGGTGAGTAAAAGTATAGCAAAACTCCCCTCCGAGAATTCTAGTATGTCTAGCCTAAGAAGATGAGTGTACCTATGTGACTTCTGGACCAGGAAGTGACGTCATACCAATCAGAGACGAGCACGTGACGTCACGGCCAATCAGAGACGAGCAATCGCCCTCTCTTTGGCCAATGGGATACGGTAGGCGTGACCTTTACAGGCGTCACAACCAATGAGCAGTGTGGTCCGCCATTTTGTTGGGACCCATCTTGGATATTTTATTAATCACCAAATCCGCCATCTTGGATCAGTCGCCATTTTATTAGTCTCTAATCCCGTCATTTTGTTGCGCGCCATCTTGGATCAGTCGCCATTTTATTAGTCACTCAATCCGCCATCTTGGATCGGTCGCCATTTCATTAGCTATTAAATCCGCCATTTTATTAGTCTTTAATCCCACCATTTTGTTGGGCGCCATTTTATTAGTCACTAAATCAACTTTAGTAACGGGGCTACATGGGCACCATCTTCGAGCGTGGTTTACCAACGTCGTGATTATGCGGTTTTTTCCTTATCTTCTTTCACAGTTTTGGTCTGATTGATTTCAAACTGGTGGCGTCGGAAAGATCTTGTAAATGCGCACAACCCCTGCGTGACGGAATTTTTTTTCATAGGGGTGAAATTAATTACCTTTTGCAAGGCGCGATACTTCGAGGAGTAGTCGACTTCGGGGGCCCAAAAGTTACCTTGCGCTGCGCGGTTTAAAGTTTCTTAAAGCTCGCGGCCTTTTTAGCGCATTTTTTAAGAGTTAAAAAAAATGTGCTATTGTTTGCGGTTTGTCCGTCCGTCCGTCCGTCCGCCCGGAGCCACTTCTACCGTTTTGAACTACTTCTAGGGGAATGGTCCTAGAGTCCTGGAATTGTTTACAGTAGGTAGCCTATACCTTGAAGGTGTGCCCGAGGGTGTGCCAGACGGCCATCAAATTTCGTTGTCTAAAAGAGCCCCCCCCCCCCACGAATTATTTCCTGAAATGCTGTTTTTGAAAGTAAAACGTGCATAACTTCTGCATACGACAACCAATTGGCCTCAGATTTTGCATACGCATGCTTTCAGTAGTGCCAAGTCAAACTTTAAAAAGTTGGGGGGGGGAGGGAGGGTAAAGACATGTTCTACCCTTCATGGTATTCTAATGAAAGGTCTCATCAAAATCAATTGGTTTGTATAAACTATAACTTTCCCGTGCGACTCTTTTTCGAAATCAGTGAGCGACGGGGCCTGAGTGGGGTGGAGGGGAGCGGGGGGCTAAAAATTAATTTGATTTCTCATTGTATGCCCTTCTTTCTGTGCTCTTATCAAAGTACGGGGTGGAGGGGGGGGGGGGAAATGGAACTAGTTTTTTCCTTTATGGTACTCTAATGAAATGTCTCGACGAAAGGAATTAGTTTCTCCCAACCATAGCCCTCCTCCTCTACCTCTTATCGTGATCGGGTATATTCCCTTATACCTCAAGAACGGATTGTCGGAAGAGGGTGCTCTCAATGGGCGATTGAGATATCTGCAAGAAATATATCCATTGGTGATGTCAAAGCAAAAGCTATTTCGGTTTAAAAAATGCGCTTTATCTGCACAAGAATTGTGCATAATTTATACTTGTTTTTTCGTGTCGCTAATAGAAAATCGAGCAATGAGAAAAGACGAAAAAATTGAATAGGAAAGGATAATTTATTTAGATGGATCGGAGCGAACCACTGTTGTGGAGGGTTCTTAGCGAAGTGCAACAAAATGGCGCATGTATATAACTATCCAATGTCCTTACATTTTAGTGCATTTTCTCGAACCGTTTAGATTGGGAAGAAATGCAACGGGTGTATTGTGCTGGCAAACAACTAAAATCCATGACTTTTGCAACTCTCTTATCCTCGATACCTTCGACGAGGAGCATCACCATTCCTTAGAATGGTACCCGTGCGTGGTACCATAATTTGCAGTACCGCCTGTGTGAGAAAATCAAAATTAAAACCAACAACAATCCTTTATTTTAGTGCATTAACTACGTTTGACCTTAGTAGTTCAATGTCTACTTAAGTCTTGCATCCCCTAAACGCTATATGAGGTAGTTTGTCACACATAACCTTGTTTGAGATCACTGCAGATCGAAGATGCCCAAACTGTCATAAAATGGTAAGTAATATTCGATCTCCTTCAGATAATCTTCATTATTGAAACAGTGATGCCGAAAACTATAATCTTCGAAGAAAGACTGCACGGTACCGTCGGTTCTGCTCGACTTTACCAATGGCAAAATCAGTAGCGATGATCCAAGACCGCAATAACTAAATAAACGGAAGTCGGCATCGAACTGTTCACGTGTAGGCAACGTCTTGGTGCCGAACAATTTTAATCTCTGCATCAAGTTCTTGAAATAATGATCAACAATTACATCCCATTCGGTTCTGGTGTCCAAGTTTAAACTCGAAGCTAAGAAATGATGCAAGTCGAGACATGGAGTGGTGAAGCAAGCATTTTGGAAGTCAACCTAACGTAAAACGTCTAATTGTATGCCTATTAAGCTATTCACTTACAAATCGCACGTCGTCCACCTCATTGTCGTGGTCGTAATGGAACATCAAGTTGTTAATCCAGCAATCGCCGTGTGTTAGGACTTTAAAGTCTGCATTTGCGTTATTAATCTGAAATATCTTTTCCAAAACACCCTCCTTAGAAAGCCTTAGCTTTTCCACGTACTTACTCAGACCTATCAATAGAAAGTAAACGGATTGATGATTTTTAATGATTGAAGTATACCTGCCACGTTTTCACAAACTTTAACCACCTCGTCATACGATAAGGAAACAAAATCGTAAGTGATTCCACTGTGTCGATAGATGGGGCGAACAAATTTCGTTAGGTGGGTTGCACCCTGTGAAGCAGAAGGGGTTAGTTATCACCCAATGGAATAATGCGTAGCACCTTTTCCAATAAAGCGTACGAAGCCGCGTGGAAAAACGCCAACTTCTCCATTACCAAGCGACTATGTTTCAAATCTAAACCGCCCCTTCGATGCACAATTTTATAATTTACGGATGCCAAGTCCTCCAATAGCAACATTGGTGAAGGTTTGGAGGTATAGAAGTACACTTTTGGAGCAAACCTTTCTTGGGATTCTGAAACAAGTACGTTACGCGGGGGGCACACAGCGAAATAACGACCTAATCGGGATACTCGTGGAATGACATCGCCATATACCGCAAGTTCGCAGTCAAAAAATTTCATATCGCCCACAAATTTGGCTTGATACTCGTCTTCTGGAAAACATTTCGCAACCATCGAAAGCACTCGACGCTCCCTAAAATTCACGAAATTACCACCTGGCTTTCACCAATACCACGAACCCATCCTTGCTCAAGTAATGGGCCTTCACCCTCTTCATAAGCGAACAAAAATGTTCAGTATGCTTGGACACATCGCTGGAAATATTGATGTCGAGAACTCGAATGGTTTCTTCAAAATATTTTGTGAGAATCTCTTCCAAAAGCTCTTCGCTTAGAAGTTTTTCAGTCAATGCCATCTCTATGATTAATTAATCACTGTGAGATGTGATGTGGCTAAATGGTAAATGTAATTATATCCCACGATTATTAGGAAAGGGACGCGAAACTTAACACGAAAAAATACTTAGCAACTGTGTATATATCACTCGCCTTGAGATGGTGTTTCCCGAAAAACACGTTTCAGAACAATTACAGGAACAGTACCGTTAGAGGATTAATTGATTTTTGAAAGGAGTTCCCCTAGAAGCTTTTGGTCTCTGCGACGAACAAACGTATTAACAAAGGACGTTATCCTAACAGTCACTTTCAAAATATTACATTTTCTTGCCCAAAGCCGTTTTGATGTTCTGTATTGTACTGTCATGTCAATACATATTCCCTTCAGGTAAACATAAATTAACGACTCGGTAAGTGCTAAAGTAGTATCAGATCGATGTTTTACATATATTTCAGAAATCCATTAATTAAGGGAATAAAATTAATTGATGTTCTCACAACTACTTAAGTAAATAATGTAACAAAAAAAAATCTCATATTAGAATAAATTATGCTGAGATTAATAATGATTCAAAGCATTAATTAAGACTATAATGTTTTACATGTGCAAATTGGGATAATGGGAGGCGCTTTAAGTTAACCGCTAGTCTTACTTTACTTTCTTTATTTACGACAATCGAATGGAACTACTCACGAAACAAAAAAACATCAGTTATACAGGGTGTTTTTTTGGGAGCTTTAGTTAAAAGTTTCTGGGAAAGTAAAATAGGTAGGTTTTTGAAAATTTGTACTTAGGAGTTACTCTGAAGGCCGAATCGATGTAAAATAGGTTCAAAATGGCCGCACTTCCGGAAACACCGGAAGTAGATAGTAACTTCGTTATTTTAAATGGCAACCCCTATTTTTTATTGCATTTTTGGATTCTATGTGAAATTTCAGTTCTGATACCCATATGTCGATATCTGCCATTTATGGTTTTTAAGTTATTTTGACTTTAAGAAAAAAAATGGCGGATGCAGATGGTACCTTGATAATTGATTACTTGAAAACGGTTCTAGTCATGGCAACCTATTTTTATCAGTGAATAGAGAATGAATAGGGCTTTCTTTTAGTGCACTTAAAACAAAGTTAAGTTGCATACAACCGCACCTATGGAGATCCAAATTTAAGAAACTTCAAAGTCTATAAACTCAGTTTTTTTTAATGGAATGACCATGTTCTTAATATTGCATGAGATAGAGAATCGAAATTGGCATATTTTGACTATACATGTTCCTATAGCTATCTTTAACAGTTTCTGACTTATTCCCATTTTATTGAATTGACACTATTTTTTTCGCATTTTCTTTTTAGTAGTTGGCCATGATTTTATAACAATCGAATTTTAAACAAATCAAGGAATGGATTCTTTAATACCATTGATTCTAGTTCTAGTCTAAATAATTCATTAATAAATAACTCATTTATTAAGGATATAGGACGGAAAATTTTTGAAAAATCTGAACAGAGTCGTTCAACTGAATTTCTTAAACAAGTCTGGAAATTAAGAGAGGTAATGTGATATCTGTTCTAGCAACAATTCCATACCAAAAATGTTTCAACGAAGTTTTTTATATTTTGCATTAAATTTAATATGTTAATCTTGCATTTGCAATTCAATTCATTTTCTTAAATATTCTCTTGTAGAGCTTTGTATCACTTGTGCTTCAACGGTTTGTAGTGCATTTGGGGTACAAAATTTCCAAAATTCATACAATTTCGTTCCAGTTTTCGAATGAATGTACGGAAAGCACGCCCCGCGATTCTGTCTATTTCACCATAAATAACAATTAAATTCCAAAATAGGTGAAACCACTGCGAGTCATTTTTCGATTTTTGAAAAACTTATGTTAACCTATAAACAGTGGGTGATGGATTAGTGTCACTAGATTTGTTTAAAATTCAATTGTTATAGAATCATGGCCGACTACTAAAAAGAAAATCCGAAAAAAATAGTGTCAATTCAATAAAATGGGAATAAGTCAGAAACTGTTTAAAGATAGCTATTATAGGAACATGTATTGTCAAAATATGCCCATTTCGATTCTCTATCTCATGGAATAGTAAGAACATGGTCATTCCATTTAAAAAACCTGAGTTTTTAGTCTTTGAAGTTTCATAAATTTGGATATCCATAGGGGCGGTCGTACGCAACTTAACTTTTTTTTAAGTGCACTAAAAGAAAGCCCTATTCATTCTCTATGCACTGATAAAAATGGGTTGCCATGACTATAACCTTTTTCAAGTAATCAATTATCAAGGTACCATCTGCATCCGCCATTTTTTTCTTAAAGTCAAAATAACTTAAAAACCATAAATGGCAGATATGGGTATCAAAAGAACTGAAATTTCACGTAGAATCCAAAAATGCAATAAAAAATAGGGGTTGCCATTTAAAATAACGGAATTACTATCTACTTCCGGTGTTTCCGGAAGTGCGGACATTTTGAAAATATTTTACATCGATTCGGCCTTCAGAGTAACTCCTAAGTACAAATTTTCAAAAACCTACCTATTTTACTTTCCCAGAAACTTTTAACTAAAGCTCCCAAAAAAACACCCTGTATAGTAATTCACCAATGATGAATTGAGATATCTCTAGCTAGTTCAAACTAATTGAATCTTACTGTTCTCGTACCCTTTCAGACTGCTGGAGACGAACAAAAAAGTCTGATCTGAACAATCTATCTGAGTCGCACAATGGGTTCGAATAAACACACAATTAGTTGATTAACAATGGAAAAAGCTTATTCTGAAACACATTAAATGAAAATTAAAATCAAATTCCTGAAATAAAGAGAAACTTACAAAGCTTATTTAAATAAATTACCACGGACGCAGGCGTCCGAAAATTAAAATTCTTGAAATTGCTTAATTTGTTTTTCTCTTTCAATAATCCTAATAATCTGGTAATTAAAGGGTTTTCGATAAATAAGTGTAGTCAATGACTATCTTGATACACAAGATAAAAAAGATTCTGGACGGCTGATCTGACGGTTGAAACTTTTAACTTTCACTAAACAAACAACTGCTTAGTTGACTCCCACTCACACAAAATGAAACACTTAGCGTAAACTAATTTACACGCTCTTTTCACCGCCGTCAAGTAACAACAGTCTTGCCTCACGTATTTAATCGAACACCACTCCCATCAAGGGATAATCTCCTTCGTCCGATATTTACAAAACAATGCGCCAATCAAATTAAATTAGATGAAGACACGTCCCCACTTACGCCGAAATAATGCGCCCATCCTTGATCACCTGTATCTCTTGTTATCAACACCAGAAATCTCGTCCAATATTATCGCAAACGATAATGCCACCATTTTAATTTCACGTTTTACAATTAAATAAACAAATCTAAATAGACACGGTCACCCTGTATGCTCTATGCAAATTTTTTAGAAATTTATCTGCTTTAATTACCGACTCACCTTGTCGTTTATTCATCCATCAAATATAATAGCAAAATATTAAACTTTTTCGACAAGTTTCAAAGATTTTTCTTTAGTTTTGATAATCCTCACTTTCCTTTTGATATTTAATATTACTGTATATCACTGCCATTTCATACATAAGGCAATTTACCAACAAGAGACCAAAAACATAAGGAGCAGCTCTCTAAAATGACTAGTAGTTTAAATACTTGCAAATTAAAAATTAAGAAGTAAAAAATAGAAAGTAGTCAAGCATACTCGTTTATAGCGGAGAGATATAGAAATGTGCATTTGTTTATTCTATTTAGTGCGAATCCACTACACTACTACTACATACTATACTACAAGGTAAATTCTACTCAATTAAATTAATTAATTGAATTAGAGATATATGCAATTATGTGTAATTGGAGGCGGAATTAATTGCGCAAGCTCCTATAGTATAATTAACTTAGCTGAAAGGATGAATTAATTTTTCCTCTTATAATTGAATCATATTTTTTTTATTAAAGGGTTCCAAAGAAAGTAACACCGGTTTTAAGTGGTTACTACGGCTGACAGTAAGGTCAAATTGTACCTTAAATGTTGGCTCTGTAAGAAGCAGATCTAGGCTATTATAATGAAAATTTGTCAGTGGGGCCAATGGAACTTCCAACTTGGTTCTGTGAACCACTGCCCATTTCAAGTTTGGTAGTAATTTGACCATAGTCTGCACAAAATATTTTATTCAGATGATGAGCTACACAAAAATGATTCGTGAGCAATATCTTTGGGCGTAAAGTTTTCCAAATAACAAGAGCTTAAAATTTTCTAATTTTTTGCGCTGGTTTAAAATGACCTTTGACCATTCTGGCGCATTTATTGTAAAATGTTTGTGTGGATTGTAAATGAAAAGAGTTTATATCCAAAATGTTAGTTAAGGAATAAACCTAAATAACTTTTACGATGCCTTTAATTTACCTTGTCTCTGTGCTACCTCAAATAAGAGAAGTGACAGACGAAGACCTCTAAAATTGTGACTTCAAATACCAGAAGACAGAACGTAAAATCTAAGGTTCTAACACTATCATCAGGAGATCTGGGTCTGGGAGAACGTGAGTGGTATAATAAGCAAGTCTCACTACAAGACATACAGATGTGACGTATCCTGCAGGCTGACTGTCAAAAAACGAAAAGTTCAGAAAAAAGTTTATCTTTTAAACAATCTGTAATGCCAAATTCGCCAATACGACGATCAAGAACACCAAGACGTCAGTGAATTTGCTGTTTTGTATGACAAAGTGAGTGTTGATAGAAGAAAAAGCGATAGTCCATTAAATTTGGACCAAATGAGTTGAATTAAATGTCGTACATTTTCGGTGACCACAAGATATCAATATCATTGTGTGTACACTAATTTAATTAAGAAACAAGCTCGATGCCTAAAATTTTTTTAATATTCGGTTTTTAAAAACTTTAAGCTTTCATCGATAACCTTACTGGATTTGGTTTATTTTCTCCAAATGTACAAGGCACCAAGCCATAGTGCAACAATATCTACAAGGCATACAGAGACTCGATTCTGGTACATATTTTGCATTGAGATTTGTTATAAAAAGCTTTTACACACGTAAGTACTCTCTGGATGTGTCAGAAAAAGGATAAGATAAGATGCTCTAGGTATAGTAGGGCACATAAAACTCAAATTTTGGGGAGAATTCACTAAATGTCAATGTCGGTTAATAAACTTTTACCAAATTACAATTCCATACATGGAGGTTTTGCAATTTCGATATAATTATCGTTTATTATTCAACAATACACTGTAAACAAAAGAAGGTCTCAGCCCACTCTGCATTATATTTAAAAGCGTTTTATTTATGTTATTAATTGAAATGTAGTATCACTGGAAACAAACTAGATTTAGCTACAATGAATTTAAAGAAAGGGTGAGAAAATTTGGTGAATAGATATTGTTTATCGCGATTCAATTTTGTTCTTAAAAGTCCTACTCAGTTGTTTGTACTTCGTTGCATTAGATAATTGTTTATAATCCATTATACACTTGCAAAATAGTCGAATGGACGAACGAAGATTGAAGATAGATCTAAAATTCACTTGCTTTTTATTTGACCATGTGAATTGTTACATGGTATATCATATATAGCCCTATGGGTTAGTAGTTCATTATCGTTTTCCTACAGTCATCCTCAAAAAATGCACCATGTAGTGGTTATACTTATTTTCGTTGTCT